TTCCTCCCCTTCTTCCCCCGCCTCCACTGGGATGTGCTCCCAGGTTCCCCTGTGATCCAGGATCCTTTCCAAAAGGGATTGGAAGCAGGAGCTGAGGGAGATCTCCCTGAGCAGCAGCTCCACAACTCCATCACCTGCCCCAGGCTGGGGCAGCTCCCCGGGAATCTTCTCCCCATTCCCCTTCAGTGGCTGCTGACCGGAGCTTTTTGTCTCTTTCCAGCTGGTTTTACCTCTGGAAAAGGGACATATTCCCACAAATGGACAGTGCTCAAGTGGGAATTAGGGGCATAGTTGTGAAATACATGATGAGTAGTTAAAACTCATTTTATTGGGGTATAAAAGTGACATTTTGGTGCCATTAGTTGTTTAGGCATTTGGTGGGTCGTCCTTAAATTCCTGGGAAGGGGAAAGAAATTCCTCAGATTCCAGCAGGAACTAGAGGGTTAAACTCAGCAGGTCGCTCAGAGCCTCTTCAAATCCAGAGAAACGTGGTTTGTTCTGGGGTCAGACATTTGGGGGAAAAAAACCCAAAAAACACCAGTTCTTTTGCAAACTTTGGAGCAGCTTCAAACATTCCCGGGAAACACGGTGTAACCTGAGCAGTGCTGGAATGGGGACACCCTGGGAAGGCTGGAAACAGGCCTTCAAAATGTGGGGGCTGGGAGCCCATTTTGAGGGAGGAATTCTTAAGACAGTGAGCATTGTGAGGAAGTTTGATCGGGTTTGGGTTTTCAGTGTGAGAATGTGATTATCCATCGTGCCTGGTGTTGGTGAAGCACTTGGAATTCTATCTGGGAATGCTGTTAAGGCAGTGGTTTTTTAGGATCGCAGTTAATTTTGCTTAACTTTGCTTCATTTTACCTTTCTTTTATTGCCTGCTGAGGAGAGGAACCGTTCCTTAATTCCACGTGCCTTAACCAGAACATTCCCTTGATCCACCTCTGTTGCTCTGTCCCTGTTCCAGGTTCTAATAGTCCAGAGGGTCTCAGGTAAAATTACAGGTGGGATTTAAGCTAAAATTCACTCCATGGTCTGGTGGAGATCAGTCCAAGTTTGGACTCACTCCCGGAGCTCTTTCCCACCCTCACTGGAACACCCAAAGCCCCGGAAGTGGCTTTCGTCCATTGGAAACCCCCGGGAGTTCCGTTGGCTAACACAGGGTGTCCTCAACAGCTTCTTGCAGGGGGAAGAAAGATGGAAAGCGCTCCGGTCCTGCTGGAATCCAAGTCCTCTCCCATCAACCTGCTGAACGAGATGCACCAGCTGCGCCTGCTGGGCCACCTGTGCGACGTGACGGTGAGCGTGGAGTACCAGGGCGTCCGCGCCGAGTTTGTGGCCCACAAGGCCGTGCTGGCGGCCACCAGCAAGTTCTTCAAGGAGGTCTTCCTCAACGAGAAGGCCGTGGACGGCCCCCGGAGCAACGTGTTCCTCAACGAGGTGCAGGTGGCGGATTTCGCCTCCTTCCTGGAGTTCGTCTACACGGCCAAGGTGGAGGTGGAGGAGGACAGGGTGCAGCGCATGCTGGAGATAGCCGAGAAGCTCAAGTGCCTGGACCTCTCGGAGACCTGCTTCCAGCTGAAGAAGCAGATGCTGGAGTCGGTGCTGCTGGAGCTGCAGAACTTCTCGGAGTCGCAGAACTCCGAGGAGGAAGGCGCTGCCCACCCCAACGTCCCGCCCGAGTCCAAAGCCGTGGCAGAAGCCGAGCAGGAAACTCCGGGTTCCCCCGTAGCCAGGCCCAGCCACGGAGCGTCCCCGGAGGCGCCGGCTGCCAAATCCAAGGAGAAGACGGACAAAAAGAAGGAAATGCTGAAGGCTCCTTACGCCAAAATCCGGAGGGCGAGCGGGAGGCTGGCCGGGAGGAAGGTGTTCGTGGAAATCCCCAAGAAGAAGTACACCAGGAGGCTGAGGGAGCAGCAGAAGAACGCGGAGGTGGCCGCTGAAGACGACAAATACCCCGAAGACGAGGAGCTGTGCGACCCGGAGGGGGAGGAGGAGCGCGGGGAGGGCGCCGCCGTCAAGCCGGAGGGCGCGGGGCGCGACGGCAGCTCCGAGGAGAACCGCCCGAAGGCCGGCGAGGACAAAAAGAAGCGGGGCAGCAACTTCAAGTGCGGCACGTGCGAGAAGGAGTTCCTGTACGAGAAGAGCTTCCTGAAGCACATCCAGCACAGCCACGGCATCGCGGCCGAGCTGGTGTTCCGGTGCGAGACGTGCGGCCAGACCTTCGCCAACCGCTGCAACCTGCGGAGCCACCAGCGGCACGTCCACAGCAGCGAGCGCCGCTTCCCCTGTGAGCTCTGCGGTAAGAAGTTCAAGAGGAAGAAGGACGTCAAGAGGCACATTCTCCAGGTTCATGAGGGTGGTGGGGAGCGCCATCAGTGCCAGCAGTGTGGAAAGGGGTTGAGCTCCAGAACCGCCCTGAGGCTCCATGAAAGGACGCACACGGGCCACAAGCCTTATGGGTGCCCGGAGTGTGAGGCTAAGTTTTCTCAGCCTTCGGCACTAAAAACCCACATGAGGTATGAACAGCCTTCCCTGGCCTCGGGAGATCCTGGGGGGACGAGCACAAACCCCCCGGAGCCTGTCCCCTGTTTCCCTTTTTCCCCCCTGCTTTGCCTCACAGGTCGAGTGCTGCTGCTGCTCCTGGAGCGCTTCTCCCCGGGGATGAATCAGGGCTGGAATTACTCCAGCTCACTATAGCCAAGACAATAAGAAGCATGGAAATATTTAGGAAAGGTTTGACCAGGTTTTAAATGGGAGAACACCAGATTTGGGGGCTAAGGAGGGAAAAAACTAAGCTGGGAGTAGAAACGAGTGACAGATCATGGGGCAAAAATCCTCTCCGAGGGGTTTAACCTGATTTTCTCTCTGAGGGGCTTTAGCCTGATTTTATCAGTTATTTTTATCTGTCCCAGGGTGATTTTATCAGGGTAAAAGTCATCTCTGAAGGGTTAAATCTCACTGTATCAGTTATTTTCTCTCTCGGGGAAGAGATGTTTTTGTCAGGGCAAAAATTGTCTCTGAGGGGTCGAGCCTGATTTTTATAATTTATTTTATCTGCCTCAGGGCATTTTTGTGAGGGCAAAAATAATCTCTGAGGGATTTAACCTGATTTTATCCCTTATTTTATCTGTCTCAGGGAAGAGGCATTTTTAGCAGGTCGAAAATCAACTGTGGAGGCCTTGAGCCTGATTTTATCCTTTATTTTATCTGTTTCATTGCAGAGATGTTTTTATCAGGGCAAAAATCATCTCTGATGGGCTTTATCCTGATTTTATCAGTTATTTTATGTCTCATGCCATTTTTATCAGGGCTAAAATCATCTATGAAGGCCTTGAGCCTGATTTTTACCCCTTGTCTGTTTGGTGGCAGAGACATTTTTATGAGGGGAAAAAAATCATCTCTGAGGGATAGAACCTGATTTTGTCACTTATCTGCTTTGGGGCATTTTTATTAGGGCAAAAAAAAAACCTGTCTGAGGGGTTTAGCTTGATTTTATCAGTTATTTTATCTGTCTCAGGGCCTTGTTATCAGGGCAAAAAAATCATCTCTTGAGGGGTTGAGCCTGATTTTATCAGGGAAGAGAGATTTTTATCAGGCCAAAAATCATCTATGGAGGCCTTGAGCCTGATTTCATCCCTTTTTTTATC